GTTTTCACCCAACCGACATCATCATGACTGTGAGCGATCAGATGCACATTGATTGATCCTTCTTTGGTTGGATTGCAGGACTGAAATTAGCAACAAATTATCAGTTTCGGCAATCAATCGGCTTGAATGTGATTCTACAGGCAAATAATCGGCTAAAAATGGGATTTTCGAGTTTTTAGGCCTTCGTTCGGTAGAATTTCTTCTTGACGTTTCGCAAGCACGAGTGGCTTGCATCTTCAGAAGTGGTTTGCTTGAACGCGTACACTGTTCTCATCAGAATCCGATCAGTTCTTCCGCAGAACTTTCCTGATGCTGCTGGAGTTTTACGATCTAAAATTAATAATTAACTTTTCCTAGTCGGAATCGTCCGCTAAATCAAACTGATTTAGGACATTTTGAACTGACTGAACTTCACTTTGAAATATAACAGTAGTAAATATAGTTGGGTAAATTGAATTACGATTTATTTGTCCATTGTGCAGTTTAAGCTTCACGCTAAAGCATAGATTTTTTAAATATGTTCAAGAGAAAAGTAATCAAAACAAAACTAAGAAATTCATGTTTGAAGACCAGTTTGTAGATAAATAAGATAACCGAAAAATTCAAAAAGATCTCTAAATATGAAGTGTTTTTTAATGCTTATTGAACTTGAGAACACACGGAAGTTTTTGCATTGTTTCTTTTGCCACGTTTTGGAAACTCTAATTGATAATTTTTTTCGAAAACCATGCACCTAGCAAAAAAGAATTGCACTAAATAATGTTTCAAACAGAAATCAATTGACTCCAAGCGGTCAGAATTTATCCAGTTTTAGAGTTTGCGTAAATTTGATTTTGTTTAGCAATACAAATCGAAACTTTCAGCACATAACATGATGAACAAATAAGCAGAAAACTGTCTGATGTCAAATAATTGATTCAAATGAGATCAGCATAGGAAATACAATCAACTATGTGAATCAATTACTTTTGAAGAAACACATTTTTTGATAAATCCTAGACT